TGTGGATTCCTTCTCAGATTCTTAGGTGTGCAATGATTAGTTCCATGATATCCACGTTTTCACTGAAATGCTGAGAAAATCCTTTTGTAATTTTTGGTTACTAGACATAGTGTGTCAGATAATACTGCACACTTTGTGTCACAAGAACTGGAAGCCTTCTTTATTAAGAATAAATAGTAATGAAGATGTTACTCCAGCTCCATACCGTCATCATCAAATGGTCTGGCAGTGAGGGCAGGAAGGACACTGAAGGAAGGCTTACACAAATTTACAAAAGGGTCTCTGTATACCAGACTATGTAGGTTCTTATATAACATAGGAAGATTTTTCATTCCTCACTGGTAAAACACAAACAGAAATAATGAAGTCCCAAGTAGCGGCTGTCAGACGCCATGTTAAGGAAGACATGTTATTGTCTAACACGGCTGCTGGAGAACTTAAGTAAGTTTATTTATTTATTTATTTATTTAATGTCTTTGCAAACAGTACATTGAGACTGTGTATATACAATAGTGGGTTGCAATACAAAGAGAGCCTCTATTATGCCTTGGCATTATGGGCCAACTTAACATTATTGGCTTACAGTTTACTTAATACTAAGGAGTAGTATATCATAGTTGTACAGTAGGAAAGTAATTATTTCATAGTTGTACAGTAGAATATTAATTATAAATTAATCAAAATTTGTATAATACAAAGATATATTTATATTCTAAAATGCTTTTGTGAAAAACAATGATTCAATTATATTCCTGTCAACAATGGATAAAAGGTTCAATGTGATTGTTTCAGTTATGATGTGGGAGTACATAGGTGAGTAAATGTGTACTGAGTATTTAGCATTTAGTCTAGGGTGATTAAGTGGCTTTTGAGAGAGTCATGGTATACACAAATACAGTGAGCTTAAGTAAGTAAGTTTATTCAGGTACACACAAATACAGTTACATAGATTATCATACATAGCAGCATATGTGTAAAGTACCTGGGATAACCCAAAAAAGGCAGGACCCATTGGGTTCCTGACTTTCTCATTTCCCTGAAGGATCAATTGGGGTCCTTCAGGGAAATGAGAAACAATTTCGAGTTTATGATGCTGTTTACGACAGAAATTTTGGGAAAGATGAACTTTGGGTAGAAGGAAAGACTGTGGAGGTATTAGTGATTAAGAATTGTAAATTACAAATTAAAGGCTTTGTAATATGATTTGGAAAAGGCAAAACAGATCAACTCATGTCAAGGTTTAGGATGGAGAGCAAACAATGATTCCAACAGTACCAGAAGCTGTAAGGGTTGAGACCTCGACCGTTCGTTATTGCAGGAGCTGCCAGCATACACCGGTTCTTCAACAGGCAAGTTATACTTTTGTATCAATCAAATCACATATTTCTAGGTTAAATAATTTCCAGTAGTTCTTTCATGTGATAGCCAAATCACCGACCAGTATGTTTTAAATAAGTGACCCACTGATCAGATCCGACTGGTTCCGAACCCTTGACTGGTTCAAACCCTTGAACGGTTTCAAACGGATTCGTTGGACAATAAGGCAGACTGTAAACAGACGGGGTTTTAGGTGCCCTTATCAAACACAAAAAATAAATATGAAACAGGAACGTACACCGGTAAGCTGTCCTAATATACAAGTACAGTTAGAAATAGAAATACAAATAGCTAGATCTTCACTTTAAGGAGGTTGTTAGTAGAATATTCAAGAGGTTACTAGTAGAATTACAGTAAATCAACCACTCAAATCACATTATGAGGCTCTGTGTAGTCTGCAGTCAATCAAACGAACGGGCTTCCACATGGATAAATTGCCATTTTTGTGAAAATTAGTGTCACGCCCCTTGTGCAGATATCCAAGAACTATCTACAAGCAGCATTAAATCAGGAAGTGTTTTTGGGTATGCCCAAATGAGATCAATCTGTGGAAAAAAATCACATTGTTTTAAAAGAGGATAACATCAAAGCAGCCTTCATAGAAAACCTGGAAGCATTCTATAACAGATGGGAAAATAAAAAGTATGGGCTGGATGGTATTGCCCTTGATGCTGGCCAGGTAGTCAGAAACTGTAAGTCTGGAGGTGCTGCCCCGGTAGTCCCGTAATGCTGTCCTGGAGACAGTAAGGTGAAGCTGGAGGTGCTGTACTGGGAGACAGTAATGGTTGAAGCTGGAGGTGCTGTCCTGGGAGACAGTAATGGTTGAGGATGGAGGTGCTGTCCAGATAGTCAGTAAACGTATGCAGGAGGGAATGCATATAAATGACCTCGAGGAAGACAGGAGCTGTAGTGAGGAAACAAGTGTAGTCAATGACAAGATAAAACCAATATTACAAACTAGTAATACCACAGGAAATAGCAAACAAGGGGACTCCACTAGCATTAGTGGGATATATTACCAAAAACAACTGATGAGAGCCCCATTGTTAGTGCTAGTGAGGATAGGAAAGAGACAGGTAAACATGCACCAACAGGGAATACAGTCACAGAAACCCAAGGCAAATGGAAACCAAGCCTGTGCACATACTATGCACTTGGTATCTGTAGGCATGGGAAATCTGGAAAAACAGATGGGACGTGCAACTTTGACCACCTAGAAAATGCCGAGCCCATATGACAACAGGAAAATGCAAACTCCCGTCCTGTAAGCTTTTTCACCCTGAAATGTGTTTCTCTTTAATACAAGAAAGACTGTGCTATAACTTAAATTGCCAGGCACACCATATAAAGGGGACAAAAGATACAAAACATCCAGGCCATGAGAAAACCTGGTAGCCACAGCCACTCAAGAGGGGGAGGTTTTTAGTGCCAGGAAGGAAAAAAAATGGCAGGAAATGGCAGAAATCGTACACCAAATCCAGTCATTCCTGGAGTGGAACCACAGTCGATTGCCTCCACTCCAAACCAACAGATACAGATACTAATCCCGGGAAAAAAGTCCCCCGTACTACCAATAAACCATTTCCGATGACATTCTTCATTGCAAATATACAGGGTCTAAAGCCAACAACGAACAACAAAATACCTTTCATCTGTGGACTGTTTACAGAGGAAAATTTGCAATGTTCACGGCTTTCACAGAGACCCACATAAAGGATCACTTGGACAACGAAATATGGATACCAGGGTTTTAACCTATACAGATGCGGACAGAGTGAACAGGCAAAAGGGGGTTGGGGGTTTGACTGTATATCTCAGAGTCACTTGTTTGCACAGAACTGCTTAATGCCTCAAATGGTGTAGTGGAAGTTTTAGCAGTAAAGACAAGCCTCCGGATGCAAACATCCCAGCAATTCCAGGAAAGCTGTTAAAAATTGACCACTGTCTGGAAAATCTGCCAGCTCCCGCACCCAACATTTGCTCCTGGTGGATTTTAAATTGAGGCACCTAAAAAAGAGGAATACATGTATAGCAAATAATTTGTTGCAGTGATAACAAACCCGGAGGCAGCTCTGACGAGAACTCACATACGCACGAGCTTTTAAATCTCTGCACAAAAATTTAACTTAAAAACCACAAATAATAAGCCTAGTAAAATGGAGAATACACTAGACCTCATCACTAACAATGATGATCTGATAAGAAATGTTACCATATCAAAAAAATATACTCAGATCACAACATAATCGAGGTTCAGAAATGTATGCGTGGAGCCCCAGACCGAAATAATGAGATTAGCACGAGGGGGGCCCCTTCACCAAATTCAACTTCAATAACAAGAACATAAATGGGACCAAGTAAACCAAGTCCTAACCGATAAAAGCTGAAGATATACTAAGCAACACAGACCCCAACTTATGCCTAGAACAGATTAACTCGGTGGCACTCGATGTATGCCCCAAAGCTTATTCCTTTTAAAGAAAAAGGAGGAGTAGATGTAAAATAAAAAGGGAGACAGGGCGTCCCTTTAAAGGAGACGAAAAAAGAATAAAGAGCGGCTAAAAGAGGCCAATATATCTGAAATGCATAGGGAGTCATGGTCAGAGAAATAGAAAACATTGAACTTAAGCTAAAGGATCTTATAGGAGTCAGGAATCGCGGGAAGAACTAAAAGCCATAAATGAAATCGAAAGAAACCCAAAGTATTTCTTTCCTATGCCAAATCAAATTGAGAACAACATCCAGTATTGGGCCCATACTTAAACAAAAATGGGTCCTAAAACAGATGACAGCAAGGAAATGAGTGAGCTACTCAAGTCCCAATATGACTCAGTTTTTAGCAAGCCGCTAACCAGACTGAGAGTTGAAGATCAAAATTAATTTTTTATGAGAGAGCCACAGAATTTGGTTAACACAACCCTATCTGATGTTACCCTGACACCAAATGATTTCAAACCCAGGCGATAAATGACATGCCCATGCACTCTGCCCCAGGGCCAGACTCATGGAACTCCATGTTCATCAAGAACAAGCTTCTACCAACCTACGGAAAGGTAGCATGGACACGGGGGTCGCCCCACAGCAACTAAAAACAACACACATAGCCCCATTTCCACAAGGGGCAGTAAAGCAATAGCAAAGAACTACAGACCGATAGCACTAAGAAGAAAGATCGCCACCCATCTAGAAACCCATCAGTTAAACAACCCAGGGCAACATGGGTTTTAGAGCAGGTCGCTCTGTCTGTCTCAACTATTGGATCACAACGAAAAAGGTCTAGATGCACTAAAAGACAAAATGAATGCAGATGTAATATATACAGGCTTTGCAAAAGCCTTCGACAAGTTGATCATGGCGTAATAGTGCACAAAATGCGTGCTAAAGGAATAACAGGAAAAGTTGGTAGATGGAAACTATAATTTCCCCCACAAACAGAACACAAAGAGTAGTAGTCAACAGAGTAAAGTCCGAGGCAGCTACGGTGAAAAGCCCCTGTTCCACAAGGCACATACTCCCCCTCCCATCTTTTTCTCATCCTCATATCTGACATAAAACAAGGATTTAGCAACAGCACCGTGTCTTCCTTTGCACATGGGCACCCGAATCTGCATGAGTGTCTTCCATTGCAGACACTGCAATGGCGGACATCAACCAAATCTTTCGTGGGCTGCAGAAAACAATATGAAGTTAAACGATGAGAAATTTCAATTACTCTGATATGGAAAACATGAGGAAAAATTTAAAAATTCATCAGAGTACAAAACAAATTTCGGCCCCAAAATAGAGCGAGAAACCAACGTCGAAGACCCGAGAGTGATCATGTCGGAGGATCTCACGGGTAAACGCCCCCGTGGCTCGGTCTGAGACCAGGCCTCATGGTGGATCAGTGTCTGATTTTACCAGGCTGTTACTCTTTGGGGTGCACACAAACTGACATACGAACCACAGCCCTGTTAGTCAGGTAATGACTTTAGGTGCCTGTCCAGTGCCTTCTTGAAGACAGCCAGGTGTCTATTAGTAATCCCCTTTATGTATGCTGGGAGGCATTTAAACAATCTTGGGCC